GTGTGTGTGTGTGTGTGTGTGTGTGTGTGTGTGTGTGTGTGTGTGCGCACGTGTGTCAGTGTAGAGATAAGCCTCTGATGCTACTCTTCAGGAGCTGTCAATCTTATTTTTTGAGATAGTGTCTCTCTGTGGGGCCTTAGACTTGCCGATCGGGCTAGACTGCTGGCCAGCAAGCCCAGGAATCCTTTTATCTCTGCCTCTCCGGTGCTGTGGTCACAATGCACATACCATACCTATCTTTTCATGTAGGAGCTGGGGACTGAACATCCCCATGCTTGTGTGGCAAAGACTGCTGGTTAAACCACCACCTCAGCCCCTGGACAGTTCATAATCTAGACTTTCGGAGTCACACAGGGAGGTCAGTGTATGACCAGGAGGGCTGAGAAGATCAGAGACACAGGGAAGTGAAGCACTTTGCCCAAAACCCCAGCCAGCACCAAAAGTAAGAGCAGAGTTCAACCGTATCTGATCCCGAGTGCCTGCTTTGCCCTCTGACCTCATTTCTCCCCACCCTGATAATAGCCTAGGTCTGGGGACAGTCATAGCCCTGGACATGAGTGATCGATCCGAGGCAGCATTTGGACCCCATGGGTTATATTCGCTCACGCCACACCAACCTGTGTGATCCTGGAAAGTCTCCCATCTTCCTCATCTTCCCACAGGAATACATAACAAATGACGTCTCTCATGGAGCTGAAGGTCACATCGAGAAACCACAGGGACTACTAGCTTCCCAAGAGACCTGCCCCCTGTGGACTCTGACTGACTCCTGACTCCCTCATGAGCTGGGGCGCAGTGCATACTGGTGGCCTGTAGAAGGAGTGTGGGGACTGAGACCTCACCCCATGCCACTCCTCTCTCTGTGGGATTCTTTTGAATCCTAGAAGCATCAGGCCACAGCAGTGGGCAGACACTGAGGCCGGTTTATTCTGCTCCCACAGTTCAGGGTCAGGGCCCTGTCCCACCTGCCTGGTGACTCAACCTACGGTTCTACCCTAAAAGCTTTGGCTGGTGGCACCTGCGCCCCCCCCCCCATCCCGCTGTATCACCTGCCGGGAGAGAGCCGAATGAGATAATGTCTGGTCAGGGATCCAGCCATGAAGGAAAAGGCTCTTTGCACATGGGCCCAAGCCTTTCCTTATTTATTCATTTCTACTTACGACTCTCCAGCTCAGCAAGCCCGGGTCATGAGTGAGGAGGGGAGGGGTGACCCACTCATGTTTTCTGCAGCCTGACTTCCCACAAAAGGCCCCAAGTTGATGATTTCAGGGTTTCCCAGCAAAGAACAACATTCCAGTCAAAGGCTCTTGTGGCCAAAGAATGTCTTTGGGCCAGGGAAAGGCAATCTGCCACCCAAGCTCCCAACTCTGTGGGAGGTCCTAGCTAGACAGCAAAAAGAAACAAATGGGGAGCATTAATTTAGCACCTACTGTGTTCCCAGTAGCTGCTAGAGATTTCATTGCTTTTAGATCCTTTATCTTTAAAACAATCACACTGGGTCCCAATCCCCCTTGCTTAGAGAGCTTGTAAACACAAGGCAGGGATCTGGTTTCATTGTTCTGGGTGGGCCAGGCATAGGACTTTTTTCAAAATGCCCCAGGGCATTTGAGTGTGTGGCCAAGGCTGAGAACAGGGACCTAGTCAGCCATTCTTGACCTTCCAAGGACATACAAATGAATCCCTTGGATATTGTTAAAATACAGATTGCAATTCAGCAGGGCTGGGCAGGGCCTTTCTAACCAGCTCTCAGACCACGCAGAACCCACTGGGCCTTGGACCAAGCTTAGGAGAGCATGAGAGTAGTCTGGCTGTAAACTCCAAGGCAATGAAGACTGGGTCCCAGGTTCCTCTAAGTTGTCTAAAATCAAGGGACTGCAGAATAAACATTGGTCACGGTGTAAAGAAATGAGGAAGGTTTGCCGGCAGGAGTCACATGGCTGTCGTTCAAGCTGCTGTTAGAGGACTGCTTATGGATTCCTGAGGCCTCCCTTCCTCCTACGGCCATCAAAAGGCGGGAGCAATATCCATGATTCCCAAGAATATTTGGAAGATTAAATGAGACGGTGCAAAAGCGGGATGTTAGCTGATGTTAAAAACTATACTGCTTACTTTTAAAGTATGACAACAGTTTTAGTCACTTAATTTTTTGTAACTAGTATCAGTACATAGGTATTTATAGGTGAATGATACAATGTCTGAAGTTTGCTTTAGATACTCCAGTCAGGAGCAAGACAGGACAGAAAAAGACAGAGGAGGACCAAAAAAAAAAAAAAAAACAAAAACAAAAAGAGGGAAGGGAGGAAGAGGAGGATGATAACGAGAGGAGAGGGGGAGAAGAAAGGCAGAAGGAATGGGTTGAAACAGTAAGGGCAGGGAGATGGCCGGCGAGTTAAGTGATGGCCACACAAGCATGGAGACTTGAGTTTGGATCCGGCACCCGTGTGACAACCATGCCCAAGCAATCCAGCACTGGTGGAGTGGGGAGGGGAGAGGCAGAGACCGACGATATCCAGGACTTGCTGCCAGTTTGTCTTGTTGAATTGGTGAGACCCGGGTTCAGGGAGAGACTGTCACAAAACCTAAGGTGAAAAAGTGATTGAGGGAAACACACAACACTAAACCCCAGCCGCCTCTTGCATGTACACACACACACACACACACACACACACACACACACACACACACACACACTGTGGGTGAACATAGTCTATTTTTATAATCACTTGAATGTTCTCACAAGTAAAAGTTAATGATCAGAAGAGATATTTTGTAGTATGTTGATACAGGGAACTTGGCTCCTGGTTGGTGATGCCTGTAAATCACATCCTCCAACCCTGAGTGACGTAAAGGAACAGCATCTTCGTGGTAGAAAGAGCCCCTGCCACAACCTACAGGTGGCAAAGCGGTGCTAGTTTGCATGTGTATCCATTAGCCATAGTGGGAGTGGAGAACACACCAACTCCTACGGCATGTGTGTACCAAGTCCAGCACTTTCCATGGACTGAGTTCCCACAGCACCCTAGGACTAGACCCATCATCACTCCAAACTGAAAAAGCAACAAAGACTCAGAACTGAGGGGCTTTGACCATGGCACACAACTGCCACTGGGCACCCCCACATACTCCTGAGTAGCGCCCCCTCCCAAACACCTCTTTATTGTCAACAAGGCTCAGACTGCAACCTGGTTTGGCATCTTAGTCTGTGCTAAACTTTGGGGACAAACCATGTTCCACTCACTGGTGCTGTACACTCCAAGGGGACGACCAGCTAGCCTCTTCTGTCTACCTTCCTGCCAGCCCCAGTCCCAGGGTCAAGGCACATGGAAGGGCCAAGTCCTCTGTCATTGTCCTCTCCACCTATAACCAGCATAGAAGGACATCCATCCCGGGGCTGGGTTTTTATATGCACAAGACTCCTGGTCCCCTGGGCTACACACCAAGTCCTACTGCAGTCGCCACCATGAATGGCAGCATTCTCTACCCATACTCCACCGCGCCACCTCTGCACAACCCTCTCCAGGCCTGTAAACACGGAAGCCACACATGCAGCAGGGCCATGGCAGCCAATAAATCTTGGCCTCCTGTTTCTCTTAAAGAAGCAGAGCAGTGGAGGACACTGTGCCAGACCCTGCAGGGTGGCACTGGGGCTTTCTAGCCAGCCCTCAGTGGCTGTTCCTCATCCCAACAGGAAGGAAGAGAAGGGCAGCTGCCTCATGCGTGCTCCCCAGAGGCTTGTTTCTCTCGTGTTATCAGAGCTAACATCCCCCACTCCACCACTCACCCCAGGGCGGGGAGGATACAGGGCCTGATGAAGGGAGTGGAAGTCATTTTTGAGTTGCTTCACAGGCTCATGAGGGCTGCTGGGGAAGCAGACATTGACTGGGTGCTCCACTCCCCAAGCCTAAGAGAAGACTAAGCAGACAGCCAGGTCAGAAGAAAAAACAAACCGAGAGCAGGCACACATGGAAGCTGCCAGGAAGGGCACAGAGGCCGTGGTAATGGACGTGCCTCCACCTGGTCTTAATAACGGGGGCACTCACCCCGGGAGGAGCAGGGCAGAGTCGGGCCTATACCCTCGCTCTCCACCGACGCTCTGCTGTGTGCTCTTGCATCCAGATGAAGTGTAGTGTGAGGGTCCCAGCATGGAGCCCATCCTCCTGGCTGTGGTGGGTTGGTTCAGCTTTTCTGGAATCAGATTACCACATGACCACAGACCCACCACACAAAGGTCTTTCGGTTTAGGGTCTTTCTAGGACACCCCATTCTGTCTGTGTCCCCTGAAGCCTGGCTCCCGGCTAAGAGCTGGAGCCCTGTCCCATGCACCCCCTTGCCTGAGGAAGCACACAACGAGGGGAATGGAGGGACTTCAGGCCCGTGTGGCTCTGTGCCCTGTAACTGCTCAAGGCACTAGAAAATATATTGACCGTTACTTCTGGTCAGAGACCAGAGCCAGACAACCAGAGGGAGGGCCAAAGTCCCCCTGCCCTAGGAAGCACTTAGGTTCCAGGAGGAGATGTGATCAGTCAGGTTTCCAGGGTCAGAGTTGCAGACTCTGGGCCAATGCACAGGGCAAGAAGCTGGGGCACATTCCAGTACAAGGAGGTTTAGGGATAGCAGCGGGGAGGGGAGGTCAGAGGCCGTGAGGAAGCCTGGACCTGAGCCACCACCTGTTCCGACTTCAAGTCTACCAAGGAACAGAGCCCTGAGATTCCCGCCCCACCTTACACTTGTCCCTTTGAACTGCAGGCCCACACTAAGGGAGAGCTAGGGAAGTCAAGGGGACAGAATGCCCAAGGTCATCCAACTAGCTGGGGTCGGTTTGGTTGTGTGGTTTTTATTGTCCCTGTGGGGGCAGCTGATGGGCATAAGAACTGGGGTGTTTGGTAAGTGTTCTGAGTCATTGATTAACTTGTGACTTTCCAACCTTGGTTACCCAGCTGCCGGAGTGTTAGACACCTGCCTGGTACCTGGGCCAGGGGTGAGTTGAGAAAAAGCCAGATAGATCCTCTGCCTTCTCTGGCCTCTGTGACCTTGCACCATGGTCTGTCCAGGCTGTGAATCCTGAGAGACAGCTCTGCTCCACAAGACCACGGAACCCAAAGCAGGAGGTGAAGCAGCCCAAGGTAATGTTGCCGTCTTCAGGTTGTGTGCACAGCTGCCCCCAGACAAGTGAGGATATGACCTGTTCTTTAGAAGAAAAGTGATGTCCAGCCATCGGGCATCAGCACTGGCTGTG